GCCTCTTGACAATATGCGTTTTTGCTGGCTGTAGCAGCGCTATAGCGCTGCACAGCAAAAACGCATGAAAAACATATTTCCGGAACAAATGTTACCGCTAAGCGGAAAACGCGCATTGACGTCGCCGAGGCAACGAAAACGTACTGTAACTCTTGTGAATGCTGCAACTCCTGTGATGACGATCAAAACATATGACATGTTGAATCCACAAGAGCGAAAATTTCTTGAAGCTGCCGAACTGGGTGATAAACCGACTATTGCTTCATGTCTAGAACAGGTTAGCTTCCTTATTCACCAAAACAAAATTTTCGTTATACTTCAGTGTTTTTTTTCGAAAAAATTTGGTTGCAGAGGCACCAGTTGCCACTGAATGTCAACGCTGTGGATTGCATGGGCCGTACGGCCATTGAAATAGCCGTGGACAATGAAAATAATGAGCTTGTAGAATTGCTACTGCAGCAAGATGGTATCCGCATTGGCAATGCATTGCTATGCGCCATCCGTGAAGGTATCACATCAATAGATTACTCTTGAAGTTTGGAATCCATATACTTTTAGTTGCAGTTTCAATTTTTAAAGCCTTTAAAATATCCACTTAACTCTTCTAGCTGAAATTATGCTTTGAATGTTTGCTGATACTCTATTCAGATCAGCTAATGTATTGTCGTACACCCCTCTCATCCGCACAATTCGAGGTAACATTCAAGCGAATCCTTTCACCGCAATGATCTTAACGGCTGAATTATCTTAAATTGCTAGAAGTATTTGTTCAATCAAAATTTTTAACACACCGACCCCTGACTTCTCATTCTTTAAATTCTAATAAATAGCAGCTCGCACCAGAGTTGCTAGAGCGATTGTGCATTTCTAAGAAAACCTTGAAGCAGTCAGATCATTAATAGTACATTCATACTGCTTGCTATACAGTTCAACATGCACATAATTTTAGCAGTGTTTTTGGTCATTTACTGTTGTGATGGGCGAAGGAGCACTGGTCAGTGACCGGCGCACTAGTGCTGCATGTAAGCGTGATTGGCAGTCTCTCTATGCACATTGAAAAAAGTGTGCATGTTTACTACGAAGAGAGACTGTCAATGATTTTGCACCCTCAACTTTTCCGTGTATGTATGCGAGACGCAGGCTTCACAGTTTCAGTGCTCATTAACATATCAAGCGTTCTCGTAAAATCTGTTCTTTCTTGGT